AAATCTCTCCACCCCTGGCCTCATCCCATGACCAACCCTCCCTCTCATCCCCGCCTCCATGACCTGACACAACCTGACACAACCTGTCCATCTTCTCTCCCACCTTTCCACTCCTCCCACCTCACTGACCAATCCCCACCACTGCCTACCTGCACTCACCGATCACCATTCCACCTACCTTCCCCAGCCTCACCCCTCCCCTCTCTATTTATTTCTGAGCTCCCTTCCCCCTCCCCCATTTGTGAAGAAGGGTCCTGATCTGAAACATCAACTTTCCTGCTCCTCTGATGCTGCCTGGCCCGCTGTGTTCCTCCAACTCCACACGGTGTTATCTTATAACGCCACCTCCCTGCATTTTAATGTGTCTCCTTCATTCTGTGGAGCACATTCTAAATTAATTACATTACAACTGAATTGGGAGAACTGCATAGTCTTTCTTTAGTCTCAGTCTCCAAAATGGAAGTTTAAAAATATTTTATCTAAGTCTCGACATGTGACGCAATTTCCACAACAGATGTCAAGCCCATAAGTCTTTAGTTTCCTGTTATGTGTCACCATTCGTTCTTGAGTAGAGAGGACACATTTGCTTCATTCCACTTTCAGGGAAACTTTCCTGAATTGAAGCAATTTTGGGAATTTACAACCAATGCACTAACAACCTCATTAGCAACGACCTTTAAAAGCTGAGGGTGACATTCATTTGGATCCAAAGTGTTGTCAACCCAAATCTGCATCAGTTTGTTCAATACCACTTCATTTCTCATTGTAAGATTGTAAAGCTCCGTTTCCCTTTCTCCACTTCCAGATTTACAGATTTTTTTTGCATCTTCTAAAGGGGAAAATTAAGCAAAGTAATCTATCATTTCATCCACCATTTCCTTATTATCAACTATTAACCCGTCGTTTTGACTCTACCAAGGACCAACACTCACTTTATCTAAACTTTCATTTAAATACCTCAAGAATTGCTTCATATCCATTTTTAAATACCAAGCTAGCTTCCTCCCATTTGCTCATGTTTTCATTTTTGTTAACATTGTTGTTATTCTCTGCTTTTGTTTATATTCTGACCTGCCACTCATCTTTTAGTGTCATTCAGTGATTTTTTTCTTTAAATCCAGACTTTTCTTAACTTATTTAATGAAATTACAGATGGTGGGTCCTCAACTTAGAATTTTTCTTTTTAGTAACGTTCTCATTATTGTGAGCATTTTGAAATATCTCATAAATATCAGCCACTGCTTCCCTATTGATCTGCCCCCTGGCCGAGCATGCCAGAAAATATTGGAATCTCTCGGGTTCACCTTCAGTTTGAGCTGATTGTTTGACTTTATTTGATGCTTTGATGAGCCTTGATCAGGGAAGCCTCATTGAAGACTTTCTTCAGATCATTGAAGTTGGCAAAGAAAGTTTTAGGTAAGCTCATATCTATGTTTTGAATCCACCCAGGATCACAGGTGCCTTGGTGATCATCATTGCTCCTCATACAGCTGCTCTTGTCACATCCTGAGATCCACATTCAGTTCCACGTGCCCCAATAAAGACACTCTCAACATTTCTCTCCATCCGTACCACCTCATGCTATCCTGGAGCTTACCTGCCTCCCCCACCCCAGTTCCACATCATGTAATTTCAAATCACTCTCATCATAGATGAAGTGAATCTTTAAGATAATTGTGCTCTTTTCTCTGCAACAGTAACTGGAGTGTAGGCAACACACTTAGTCAAATGAAATAAAATGCATGACTGCAAATAATTTAATGATATTAACAGTGACATAAATTAGGTGAAAGCATTGTGTCTTGATGTTAAAAAGCCACCATTGTTCCTCTTTCTGGCAGGAAACTCAAACGATATTTATTTTGTGGATGGACAAGGTGAGATTTCATTAAAAGGACCAGACAATCCTGGACAGGGTCCTGTTGTCTGGGAATGGAAACCACACTCTGGGCAAGAAAAACAACAACAGCTTACTTTCCAGAAAATGTGGGGGAGCCGGTGGGAGCCAAGATGGAGTGAATACTATCAAAATGACTTGTCCTATTGGATAATGTGGGATTATGGTACCATTAATCTGAGATTTACAAATCCCACATTTAAACTTGCGGGAAAGTTCACTCTGTTTCAGACACAGCTGAGAAAAACCATCCTGAAAGAATACAATGTTTTCGGGATCAAAGGTGAGTCAGACAACATTTAGAAAGATTTAATAAATTGATTCTCTCTCAAGCACCACAAAAGTAATGATGAGATTACATGACCTTTCCTCATGCAGTGCAGAGAGTGCATCTCTGACTGAAACACCAGGGGATACATTCCCTTCCTCATTCCTTTTGAAATTGTCATGATGTGGAGATGCCGGTTTTCGACTGGGCTGGACAAGGTTGAAAATTACACGATACCAAGTTATAGTTCAGCAGGTTTATTTGAAAACACAAGCTTTCGGAGCTCAGGTGCCTTGTGTTTTAAAATAAACCTGTTGGACTAGAACTTGGTGTCCTGTGTTTTTTGACCTTGAAATTGTCAAAATGAGCAAAAATGTGTTGACAATTTTACGAGAAACAGCAATCGGAGCAATCTACCTAACAGTGAGCTTGTACATGGGTCACACTCTCTGTAACGTACTGAATTTTTAACTAAACTAATTGGTGAATTACCATAGTTTTCACTTGTAATCATTTGTAACAGATTCCTGCACTGTGATCTGAACATCCATAAGAGCACATGGCATTTTTTTTTATTTTTGCCCTTTCTGTCATCACTGTTGGGATTATTGCAACATGGGAACTCTTACGTTGCTCCCCTTGCACCATGCACCCCGTCTTGCTCCAGCTGTCATATTTGGTTTCAGTCCTGCCCTGATCGTGAAATCTATCTTTCCCTGTTCCTGTTCCCACCAATGACTAATGTTTTAGTCATTCAGGGGATGGGTCAATATTTCTTGTCCATCACTGGTTTCCCTTGGGAAGGTTGTGGTGAATTGCCTTCTTGATCCTTTGCAGTCAATGTGATATATATGGTGTGGCTCAGTACTAAAAATTTTTTAGCTTGGTCAGTGGGTCATCTTATTGACCCACCGCCCCACCCCCATCCATCATGTGATTGAGTTATGTTTCTTCATTTAAAGTTTCAAGTTTAGTGAAGGTAGACACAATTTAAGTGACACAGGCTGATTGGAAGAGTGTACTGGAAACCGAGCTGGAAGTCACTTTCATGATCGTCACAACCGTCAATGATGACCAATTTAATCATGTGGATGCTTCATGTCTGAATGTGACCGCTATGTTTCTTTTATTCATTCATGGAATCTGGGTGTTGCTGTCATTTATTGCCCAGCCCTAAGTGCTCAGAGGGCAGTGAAAAGTCAACCACATTGCTTTGGCTCTGGAGTCATATGTAGGCCAGACAAGGTAAGGATGGTGGAATTCCTTCCTTAAAGAGCATTAGTGAACAAGATGGGTTTTCCCTGATAATCAACAACAGTTTCACGATCATCACTACAGCCTTAATTGCAGACTTTTGTTGAATTCAAATTTTACCGTCTGCCATTACAGGCTTGAAACCCGGGTCCACAGAAGATAATCTTGGTCACTGGATCAATAGTCAAGCGATATTCCCACAAGGCCATTTCCTCCCTTCTTTTGCTAAACTAAGAGAAATTCACACCAGGTTTCATGAATGAACAAGGAAAGAAAAGCTTATTTATTCAACCCAATTTATAATGGCAAGGAGAGATCGATAACTTCTAAGATGCAAACTTAGCCTGTGCCCAATTTAAATCCAAACAAATTGACTGCACACAACAGATAAGATAAAGATTTTAAAGGAACATCATTAGTGGAAAATATCAGTACAAAGACATAAAGTCTATGTATCAGAGCTTAAACCACAAAGGGGCAATTTGATGACGTTCTCACATTCTGGTTTTGTTTTTTGCTTATGGTATCATGCTGTTGTGAACTTTGGTGATGTTTAATTCTTTGGCCATTCAGTTGGACTTTTGTCTTGGTTTCAGTTAGCAGCTGTTTCTTACTTTTGAAATATTTGAATGATACCTGTGTTTCACTCTCAAACAGAGAGAGAAAGAGTGGTCTCACTTAATTACAGGCTTTTGGAAGGTCTGAGAATCAACTGATGTCTCTTCTCTCAGTTCAGTGACAAACTGCCACATGAAACCATTACAACAGAAGTTGTTGGGCAGCTTCCTTTCACGCCACAAAAGGGCCTGGGGCTGAATTTTATGTTTTTTGGTTGAGTGTTGGTTTCATCAATTAGTGTGAAGTTTTCTCCCTCTGAAGCCGAGTGAAACCTTTCACTGTACCTTACCAAACTGTCCAAAATAACAATCTCGCCCACCCATCATGGCACCCCTCTACCCTGATTCTAACCCCTACCAACCACCTGTTTTTCCTGAAAGGACTCACACTCGCCAGTTATTGGCCAACTGCCTAAATTCATGGCCCCTGTGCCATATTTGAAAAGCCACCATGCACCGGTACAAGGTTTGGCATTCTGAATCTGCTCTGCCTGTTGAAGAACTATCATGCCAAAGTTTCCAGAGAAGAGGAAAGTTGTGCCCTGGTTATCTGATGGGGTTGTGGAGTTCCGGGAAATGGGGATGTCCAGAGGATGTCCTGTGATCTTCCTGGGATACCTCCAGAGGTGGTCATGACACCAGAGCCTGGCAGCATGGTTGAGGTTACTACTCAGAACAGAGCTGTGTCCACAGTTAAGAATGGCGAGCAATGCCACAAGAAGGTCAATGACTCAGCCAGGGTAAATGCTAGCATCTTCTCTCTGCTCCTCACACATTCTGTTTCTGCTCCTGCACCCACTTCCCACCAAAGCTCATACTCTGCATGCGGTCACTATTGCATACAGTGTGAGTCCCCCCACTACCTCCTTATAAATTCGGTGACATCCCCTTCACAATGGTCATCCACTCCCCCTTACCCTGATACCTGACACTCACTGGTCAAGATTGGACATCTGTCTGTCCAGGGGCAGCAGGCTGACTGTGACAGTACTTTATTACGGTCATCCACTCCAAGATCCTGTGTGATCACTGAGCCTTGCAGGGAATAATAGTCTATCCAAGCCCAGTTTAACAACGGTGCATTGACCCTGCAAAATTCAGATGGGGACATCAAGTCTACAACAACTCTGTCACAATTTTTGCAAACTCCTTGCATGTGTAATGAGCTGACATCAACATACCTGTGTTAGAGAAACTAACTTATCCCAAGCTGAAATGATGCTAACTCTGTGAATTGCTCCAAACTTGACCTTCAGATTGGAATATTATGTTCAGTATTCCTCACTTTAATTTTTGTCACATTGCTCGACATTGTAGCAATAATGATGTGAATTGTACATTTTCTCCCAGATCAATGATCAAACACTGCCCCATCCAGGTCAGACTTCACACACAAGGACCAGTGATCAGAGCCCTGTCCCAGACATACATACGGCTCACAGGGATGAGGGAACAGAAAGTTATGAGATGACAGATCGTACTATTTACAAAGTTTCTGTCGAAAATCTGATTGTCACTGGTCATTTGGAAAGTGGGACTGGATGTGAGGGAGAGCAGTTTTAGACAAGCCTCTCCGGGAGGGCCATTCATCATGGAGGTCAATGCTTGGAGCTTTGCTCAGGAGCATTTTGGGAGGCCACTGACTGAAGTTGTTTCTGGGACCGAGATTACCCTGATGTGGATTTTTGCACGGGTGCCCAGTGCCTGTGTGGGATTGTGCATTCAGCACAAAATAGAATAGGAACCTTCTCTATGTCTGATGATGTGGTGCTACCTTTCAACCACAGCCTCAACTTTTAATGTCAATGGTGGACTCAACATCCACAAATACCATCCAAATGATGTAACCTTGCACTGACCTGGTACACTCCAACAAGTTCATGGGTAAAGTTCATTGTCTCTGCTCTCTCTCACACTATTGGAACACGACTTATGATGTTTGTGTTATTCTCCTGATAACATGCTCTGTGTGTAATTTGTTCTTACTCGTTCATGGAGAAACAATCAACTGCTCTTAAAGGGCACATTGGCAAGTCAGTTAGAGCCTCATCATTGGATTGTACCTGGCACTGATTGTACTAATCATTCCTGATGTGTTTTCCACAGTTGAATTAAATGCCCACTCCCCAGACCCCACGGTTGGCAGTGATGTTACCCTCAGCTGTACCATCTCCAAACTCTCGGATACAGTCTGTCTCCAATGGAAATGGAGAGATTCATCTCAGCAGAGCAGCAGGAAAACCGATCAGATCCGAGTCAATAACACAGTCTATCTGATGGTCAAACATGTTACTGCGGCGGATGAGAAGTTGTACGTGTGTGAAATACAGGAAAATGGATCCATTATTCACAACAAAACAGTCAGTTTTTCTGTGTCCCAGTGTAAGTACAGTTTCCTCATCGTGAATATTAAAGAATTACTGATATAAAATTGCTACATAAAACGTGAACTGAGTATGTTAATTATCATTAATGTTGTCAGTCAGAATGAGGGCTCCTGCTGCACATTTCAACATTGAACTAAATCCGACCTCTCTCCTCTCATTGACACTTTTCACTGAGTTCTGCTGCTGTTTGAAACGATTCCAGTTGCTGCACACTCTATGCTTCAAATAAATGTTGAGTTAAGAGCAGGACGAAGGGAAGAGGGGTGAGCAGGGAATCAATGGCCATGAGTGGAGAGGGAAAAAGAAACATTGTATACAAGAGAAGGAGTAGGCCTTTCTGTCCCTTGAGCCTCCTCTGCCATTCAGTGTCATCATTTCTGATCATTGAACTCAGTACAATGTTGCAGCTTTATCTCCACATCCTTCGGTCCCCTTCGACCTAAAGACTAAATTTAACTCCGTTTTGAAATTATTCCATGTTTTGGCCTCAGTCTCTCTCTGTCGTAGCAAATTCAATAGGCTCAGCACTCTCTGGCTGAAGAAACATGTCTTCATCTCAGTCCTAAATGGCTTACCCCATATTCTTAGACTGTGACTCCTGGTTTGGGATTTCCAACCATCAGAAACATCCTTCCTGTGTTTACTGTCTTGTCCTTTTCAAATTTTATCGGTTTCTATGCGATTTCCCCCCTCAGTTTTCTAAACTCCAGTGAATGTACGTTTAACTGCTCCAGTCTCTCTTCATATGTCAGTCCTTCCATGGTAGGAATCTGTCTGGTGAACCTTCTTTGAAGTCATTGCGATGGTGCTGGGATTACGTGTCAGTGTTTGGATTCAGTTGTTCGGGTTAGTGTTATAACATCTTTAGTCAGATTAGGAGACCAGTACCGCACAAAGTATTCCAGGTGCAGTCTTACCAATGCCCTGTACTGTTGCAGCAAGTCAACCCTGCTCCCGTCCTTCCTTCCTTAGATATATTACTATCCATAATTTCCTTTGTCAGCCATAGTTGGGCCACCTTTCGCATTATATTTTTGTGCCATACGGGAATGAACAATTGTTGCAGTTCCTCCATGCGCTCTTTAAATGTTTGCCATTGCCTATCCAATGTCATCCCTTTGCCAATACATTAAAGCTAACTTTTGCCTCATACCATTGTGGTTTCATTTATTTCGATGCAAGTCTCTAATTTCTAAATGAATTATGTCACTCTCCATTTTAACGAAGAATTCTGTCATTTTATGGTCACTGTTCCCCAAGGAGCCTCACACAGCTCGATTACTTATTATTCCTTTTTATTAAAGAATACCCAATCTAGGATGACCTGTTCTCTTGTTGATTCCTCAAAGTATTCATCCAGTTTGAGGTGTTTTGGAGCGCCACCTATAGATTCTACTGCACCGAGACAAATATCCTTCCTCACTGTAGTGTTAATTTACTCTTTAACCAGCAATGCTACGCCACCTCCATTTCCTCTTTGTCTGTCCCTTCTGAAAACTGAATTGCCCTAAATATGCAGATCCCATCTCTGGTCTCTATAATACTAGCTTTATCAAACCTGTTCTATATCTATTTGCACAAGTGCGTAGACTTGATTGTGAATATTCTGTGCATTAAGACACAAACTCTTAAAGGTTTTTTCTTTCTAACACTCTTAGTCCTGTCCACATTAATTTTCACTACAGCCCTGTTTGATTCTTGCCATTGAATTCTCTGCCTATCACTTTTCTTATTTTCCGTTTTTCTTTTAGTTTCTGCATTTGACTGCCTGTATATGGTGCCACCCCCTACCATTTAATATTCAACTCTTCCCAGTCATACTGTCAAATAATCCCCTGGAACATCAGTTCTGGTTCTGCCCAGCTGCAAACTATCCAGTTTGGAACCAATCCCAATGTTCCAGGAATCCGAAACCTTCCCCCTTGCACCATTATTCCAGTTACCTATTCATCCGCTATATCCTACTATTTCTACTCTGACTAGCATCAAGCCGATGAAGAGTCACTGAACTTGAAATGTCAACTCAATTTTCTTCCCTCTGATGTTGCCAGACCTGCTGAGTGTTGCCAGTGATTTTTCTTCTTGTTTCAGATCTCCAGCATCAGCAGTTCTTTGTTTTATTGTTGAGATGCAATTAATTTGCCTGTTGATATTGCTTGTGAGAGGCCTTTCCGCCCAACACGATCCAAAGTGGTACATTGTTTTTGCAGGGGAATGCTCACAGAGCACTCCTGCGCTGCCTGCCTAGTTTGCTTTCTCTGCTGGTTGCCATCCATTCCCTCCCTGCCTGTGGTGTCTTAGCCTTTGATGTGACCACCTCTCTGTATGTGTTATCTATGACACTGTCAGCCTATCTGATGCTCGACATAGTCCCAACCATCATTCCAGCTTCAAAACTCAGCTGTTGTTGGATAACTTTCTGCACACATTCTGGTCCAGGCACTGGAATAGTGCTTGACTTGCCACATGGAGCCATTACGGCCGTGGTCTCTCCTTCCAAGACTTGCCCCTTTAAAGTAAAATGTCCATGTTGTATGACTCTATGACGTTGCCTGTGACTATGAGTCTTTGGATTGTCTTGAAAATTAGATAATATTAATTAGTCAAGATTCCTTTTTTTCTGGACCTATGCACTATAACAGTTATAAATTCCAAAATCAATTTAGACATGTACAAATTTATAAATGATAAAACTGAAATACTCAACTCAACCTTACTCACCCAAACAGCTGCTTCCTCTTGCCCCATGTCACTTTTTGGCACACTTCCCAGTCTGCCTCACTGCGCTGCTAAATGTGGGATACTCTTACTCACTTTATCTCACTTGTAATTATGGATATTGCAGTATTTCTCTTCAAAGCCAATTGTCAATTGCAAACGCTCAGGCAAAATTAAGCCTTCAACCCAGAACTCTGAGAACTCAGACTTGCAACAAGCAACTATATCCAAGTCTCATATTGTATTTCTGTCTTTCTTCGAAACATGTTTGCTGTTTTTATATTATATCCTAGAGACAATTGCTGAAATTCAGATATTCTGCTTTCTGATCTATCTCACTTGTTTTCAGAATTTCAGTGTCTATAAGGTGAAAGGGAATAGGAAACATCGACATTGTTTGTTTTGTTTTCTTCTCACCTACCTCCTGCCCCTACCTGTCTACAGCTGCTCAAATGGTTCCCTAGTCAGTCTTCTCTATCTATCCTGCACTTTACCTATATTTGTGTGAAGGTGAAGAGTTATTGAGAACTGCAGATGCTGGAGTCAGGGATAACACAGTGTGGAGCTGGAGGAACACAGGAGACCAGGCAGCTAGAATATTAATTCCACTCACTCATTGGAAAGAGGTGACTGGTCTCCATGCCTCAGGTGTGGGGTTGGGTTCACAAGACAGAGCCTTCCTGGTAACCTCAGAAAATGCAGGAACTGAAACAGCTCTCTTTGCGTCCCTGTGCATTGTAAATCAGCTGCCAAGCCAGCCAAGCTAACCACCCCCACCCCACTATAAATGCTTACTGTCTGCTCCAAAATACTGCTTTGAGCATTTATCTTGTTCTTTACTCAAAGAACACTTCACTTGTAGAACACATGATGAGATTCAGATAGTTCTTTGGTCTGATTGAGTAATTCCTGCTTCCACCCACCTGATTTCCTCAATTCGGTTCCTTGCTCAGTTTTGGCCTCTATGATCCTTCATTCTTCTCCCCTGACTTGCAGAACCTGTCATTGTCACAGTCGATGTCCACAAACTGTACAGAGTGCCTCTCAGTCAAAGTGCTACAATCCCCTGCTGAACCTTAAGCCTTCCCCTGATCAAGGCAAAATGTACCCTGACCCTAAAAGCCCACATGGTTCCAACCCACAACTTGCAACTCCTAGGCTACAATATCCAGCTCCCACCATCCCAGTGACCATTTCCTCCATGCCATCAGGCTGATTCCGAGGTTGGCAGTTCTGACATATGAGGAGAGATTGACTAGGTTGGGATTGTTTTTTGCTGGAGTTCAGACGAATGAGGGGAGTTCACAAAGAGATTTATAAAATTCTAACAGGACCGGACAGGGTAGATGCAGGGAGGATGTTCCTGACGGTGGATGTGTCCGGAACCAGGGGTCACTGTGTGAGGATTCGGGGGAGATGATTTAGGACGGAGATGAGGAGACATTTCTTCAATCAAAGACTTGTGAGCCTGTGGAATTCGTTACCACAGGAAGTAGTTGATGCCAAAACTTTGTATGTATTCAAGAGGTGACAAGATCTAGCACTTGGGGCAAATGGGATCAAAGGTTATGGGGAAAAAGCAGGGTTATGCTCTTGAGTTGGACATTCAGCCATGATCGTGAAGAATGGCGGAGCATGCTCAAAGGGCCAAATGGCCTCCTCCTGATCCTATCTTCTCTGTTTCTGTGTAATCCTAGATATGATATGGCTTCAGTATGGACAGTGTCCTGGACATAACCTGCCCAACCCTGGACTGACCGCAGACCATACACTTCTGGTGTGCAGCCCGTTGACAAAGCTCATAATACATCGCGGCAGTGGTGTGTTCCATCCCTGAAAGTCCTCAAATTGCCCAGGAGAGTAAACCCTCAATCAGAGAGAAGTCCCCCACCGATAAATAGAATGGAGGGAAATAGTCATGATCTGCTCTTCCAATCACACACAAGTTCTCTAATTTGATTGCTGATAGACTCACGACTGAACTTATCTGGAACAAATGTGAGTGAGAAACCACCTGTGATTGGAGGAGCATTGAGCAGTGAGGAAAGTCAGTGCAAGCATTGGATGAGGGCAACTGTCAGAGGAGGACAAAAGTCGAGCACGTGAACCAGAGGATAGAATTGGGCATTAAGGCCAAGGAGAGCAGGTTTGCGGTATCAGAAAGGGGAGGGTAGGTCTGTGGGAGTCAGGAAACTGGGGTAGGTGGGGGGAGAGTGCAGTTTTGGGAGTATCAAGCCATCCAAAGGAGGGTACGGATGTAGGTGGGGCTCGGGACTGTAATGTGCGGTTGTGGTTTGAATAAAATGCACATAAACTTCTTGATACTTGCAGGTGAGATGATCGACACTCTGCCCAAGGAGGCAGAACTTCATCACTGAAATTTCACCCAATGACGAGAATCTGACATTTTTCCTGGCTGCTCAATTTATTCCACCCTGTCCAATATTCTTCTCACCATTTCTCAGACTTGAATATCCCTTTTCTCTTTTCAGCAGTCCCAAAATTGCAGTGAAACTGCAGCTACCATGAACAGCATGTATACATGGTGTTGTCAAGTGTCAAAGTATTAGGAATTTGATACTTTAGAATGAAAAAAACAAAGAACAGTACACCACAGGAGCAGATCTTTTGACCCACTAAGACTGCACCAACACAGGATGTCTTTCAAAGCTAAAAACATTTTGTCTCTCCACAGTCTGAATCCTTCTATTCCCTGCCGTTGTATGTATCTGTCAAGATGTCTCTTAAAATCTTGTCATTCAAAGGAAAACATTGTATTTAAATGAGGAAAGATTTAATGTTTTTCAATAATGTCTGTCTTTTCTACATTGATCACATCCTTGTTTGCAATGTTTAAATATGTAATTGTTTTGATAACAATGCGATGAAGCAACATTTTGATTATCAAGAAACAAATATTTTAATACAATAATCATCAGTTGTTATTTTGCCTTTTTCTTGTCCTTGCACATGCAAAATGTTCTAACATGTGCTTTCTCTGTCTCTTTTTGAAGATTTACATGGAAAGAGTTACACTCTTTATCGCTCAGGCACAGATAACAGTGAACTCAACCTGGTTTGTCAGCATTATACTAACCATTTTGAAAATGCTGCATGGAGATGGACATCAGATTCTCAGAATCAGGAGAAAAGCATAGCATATGCTTCAAGCTCTAAGCCCATCAATGTAAATCGGAGTCACTTTGGGAATCGACTGGTCCTCACAACGTCCACGTTCAATGGCATGAACTTCAATGTGAGGATTGTCCCTGTCCTATTTGAAGATGCGGGAGTTTATAAATGTTTGCTGCAATCATATTCAATGGCGAACATTAGATTAATCACAGTTAAAGGTAGGGGACAAAATATTGATGCTGTTTTCAATGATCAAACGATTGTTAGAAATCTAAATGAATTTCTTGTTTGCACAGTCACAGTGGAACCCTCTGATGCAGAGACTGAGGGAGACACCGTTACTCTGACCTGCTGTGTCTCTGATGTCACTGAATCAATCAGACTTACTTGGATCAATAATGATGGCAAAATTGTTGAAGAAAAGGCATTAAATGAATGGAATAAGGAAGAGAAATCATTGCAATTGATTATTCAGAAAGCTGACAGAGGGAAGTGGACATGTGTTTTGTTTCATCAAAACATTCCTCAGGTTTCAGTCCCGGACTATTTGGAGCTCAGTGGTAAGTGTTTCAGAGCTTGCTGTTAATACGTAGAATCCAAAAGAAGCATTGTTCGAACTTATTTTTCTTAAGAGCAGCAGGAACCCATCATTTATATCTTGTGTATGAGCCTCGACAATGGTGCAACTTGTCAGAAACTTTCCCTGAGATAACAGTTTGGAAGACAAATTGTATAATCAGTCATTGATCACTTTAATGTGAATTTGGAAAGTGAATGAATATTTGTCAGAGAGTGGGAAATGTGTGTACGTTACTTTCCATCAAGTTTGCAAAGAAAGCTGATAATCTGCATGAGAATGTAAAATTGTAAATGAAGGTTAAGTTTGAAGCAGCTTACTTTTACAAACCTTGAGAGATTAACAAATGTCCTTCTCTTCAACTCACGGTATCACGAAACCACACGTCCGAATGGGGAGAGGATGTTGTATAATAGACGAGGCTACCTTGGTTTTGGACCAAATACGCTAGGACTACATTTAATATATATCATGCATCATTTTGGAGGTTATGAAAGGGAAGTTTGATGCTTGAAGAAGCGAAGTTCATTGACTCAGCCTGACCCTGGAATGATCAACACAGTTTGTCATTTGACAATGGGTTCAAAGTTTCTCAAATGTTCCCCTGACCATATGGAGGGTGAGAAAGTCCAACTTGAGTTTTCCTCTGTCCTGTTCACACAAAAAGAACGAGACCTCTTGGAATTGATACCAATATTTCTGTAGAACCACATTTAGCAGGTGAAGATAAAAAAAAGTTATTTGCTTCCAAGCATTATTTTTTGTCCATTCTTAAAACGTTTCTCAACGTTTACCTCTTTTAGATGGCTCTCTGCTATTGTCTTGGCTTATTTCATTACTCAAATCTTATGTACTGTGTTTTCCCAAACACCTGCTCCAACCCTTCACTTCTCCTCAACGCCACCACTTCCCAAGCACTACTCTGACTTTATGATCTGTTGGGTTAGTGTTAGGGTCAGTGTTCCGTCTTTGTCTTCCTAGGCATCTGTAGATTCCATTGAGATATTCACATTGCCTCATTATGAAGAAACACACCAAATGTCCCATGCTGCTCTCCCTTTGACCTTCCTGTCCAATACATCACTTGGGGTTTATCACACTAATCTGCGTCCTGACCCACTCACTCATCCACTGTTGATGCAATGGAATCTCCCAGTAACTCAGCTCTCCCCACCATGAAACACATCCCACTCAAAAGTGACCACGTACTTGTGATGGTAAACCCTGTCATCGCTGAGCTTCCTGAAGATGTTTGGATCCATGACAGTGTCTTCACAGAAACCTTGCTGAGGTTTGACAATATCTGTCCTTTCCTTTTGGCTACAGGGTCCTTTCCAAATTCATCCTGGTCTTTATGTTAGCAAGTCATTTCAAGAGCACTTGAAATATCATAACATTAAAAGTTCTGGGCCAAGTGCTGGAAAGTGGGACTCGTGCAGATTTAGAGTCATGTTTTGTTGGCGCAGACCTGTTGGGCCAAAGGGCCTCTTCTGCACTGTGTGATTCTGTGATTCCCACTATTTATGGCCCCAAATGAGGCCATTAAGTGATGTTGTAGACATGCTCACCGAGCCAGTGGGTTTGGCTGTAAACGTTTCGTCACCCTGCTGGGTAACATCATCAGTGTTTCTCTGGTGAAGCGTCGGTGTTCTGTCCTGCTTGTTATTTATATGCCTCGGTTTGCTGGGGTGGTTGTTATTACTTCCGGTTCTGTTTCTCAGTAGTTTGTACACAGGGTCTAATTCAAATCCCTGGTGTGTGTTTGTTTCGCTTGTGCAATAATGGATGTCCAGTTATCAGAGTAGCCCACAGACTTGAGAGGCCATTTAGTCCATTGAGCTATAGCTGTTATAACTATATTATGGCTTGATCTTTCTCCTTTCTCCTCTCTCCTCTGGTACAGTTTTCTCTGTTGCATGTCCCACTTCATTCCATCTCCCTCTCCTGTCACCTATCATCCTCATTCTTCACTGTCCACCAATAGATTTGTTCTCGCTGAAATGTATTTACTGCTTTCCTCCCTCAGCTTTGTATCAAGTGACTTCTTATCATTGGGGATTTCAGGTTCTGTCTGAACTCAGAATGTTCTTAGATAACTTTCTGACGATTCCCCCATTTTACACATTATATGCTCCTCTTTTGAGGTTTTTTTCCAGTGTTGGAGCTGATTTCTTTGAATTCTAGGAGCAGTATTTACTGTTTATATGCTGTTGCATTGTTTTGGAACTTGGGGGAAAAAGGATAAAAAAAACAGCACTTTAAACAGGAGACAAAGGTTGTGACAAAAAGGGAAGTCAATCAAATGGAGAAATAAATCTGCACTGCTGTATGACCCAGTAGTGAATCTGTACAGCTGACTGTTCTGCTGTTTGATTTCAAATATCTCTGGACATTGGAGTTTGATCTCGGAAACACTAACAAACAGCGAAATTCACAGGCAACCTTGGAGAAACATATGTGTGGGTGCCCCCAGCAGGAGTGCAGCTAAGTGGCTTCTTAAAATGTGAACTTGCGTGTTTTTTTTGAACATCTATAACAGTGTGTAGAGTGGGTTCTTTTTTGATTATGTTTTATTGAGATCTGTCTCTTGATTAAACTTTAAAAATATAAAACACAAGAAGTAAGTTAGCCTGGAACAGTTTTTTTTTATAGAGAAGTAAGCATGTGCTATTTTCTTGGCCTGTAGATTGTTAAGGTACAAAGTTGGCTTTTAGTAGAGTGATGTGCTCTTCCTGTCGGATATGGGAGATTAGGGAGAGTTTCCATGTTCCTGATGATGATGTCTGCAGGAATTGCATTTTTTTGTGAATCCAATCATGTTGCAAGGATCAGTTGGTGCAGCAGTTAGAGGCAATGAGGAAGCTGGAAGGCGTCATGGATGGCAGTAGCAGGGAGGGAGATAAACTAAAGATACAGTCAGGTCGATGTGTTACCTTCAGGAAAAGTAAGAGAAGGAGGCGGGTTGTACAGTAGTCTCCTGTGGCTATCCCCATCTCAAATAATTTTGTTGTTTTGGAAAATGAAGGGTGTGATGGAATCTCAGGGGAATTGTAGCACTGATAGCCAGATTTCTGGACCTGAGACTGGCTCTAGCGTAACGAGGCATACACCAGGTTCCAAGCAGTCGATTGTGATAGGGGACTGTCTAGTCAGAGGAACAAACAGACATTTCTGCTGCTGGCTGTATAGCATCAGAATGGTGTGTTGCCGTCCTGGTGCCAGGATCAAGGATATCTCTGAGAGGATGCAGAATATTCTCAAAGGGGAGAAGGAACAGCAGTAGATTGTTGTACACATTTGAACTAACGACATAGGAAGAGAAAAGGATGAGATTCTGAGGAGAGAATATAGGAATTTAGGCAGAAATTTAGAAAGGAGGTCCTCAAGGGTAATAATATCTTGATTAGTCTCGGTGCCACGAGCTAGTGAGGGTAGGAATAGGAGAATAGAGCAGATGAATGATTGGCTGAGGAGCTGGTGTGAGGAGAAGAATTCACATTTTTGGATCAGTGGAATCTCTTTTGGGGTAGAAATGACCTGTATAAGAAGGATGGATTGCATCTGAATTGGAAGGGGACTAATATACTTGCAGGGTGATTTGCTCGAGCTGCTCAGAAGGATTTAAACTAGCAAGGGAGCTGGGTGGGACCCACGGAGATAGTGAGGAAAGAGATCAATCTGGGACTGAGGTACAGTTGGGAAAAGGAGCAAGTTAATCAGTCAGGGCAGGCTGGAACAAAGTAGAGAACAATGTAGGACTGATAAATTAAACTGCATTTATTTCAATGAAAGAGGCCAAACAGGTAAGGCAGATGGACTCGGGGCACGGTTGGAAACATGAGTCTGGGATATGCTGGCAATTACAGAGATATCGCTCAGGGATGGACAGGACTGGCAGCTTAATATTCCAGCGTTTGGATGCCAAAGGATCGAAAGGGTGGGATGAGAGGAGCGGAGTGGCCTTTCTGATTCGGGATAACATTATGGCTGTAAGTAGGGAGGATATTCCTGGCAAAGCGTCCAAGGAAGTTATTTGGGTGGAACTGAGAAATAGAAAGGGATGATCACCTTATTGGGATTGTACTATAGACCCCCCAATAGTCAGCAGGAAATTGAGAAACAAATTTGTAAGGAGTTCTCAGTTATCTGTGAGAAAAATAAGCCTGTAAAGGTAGGGGATTTTAACTTTCCAAACATAGACAGGGACTGCCACAGTGATAATGGCTTAGATTGAGAAGAATTTGTTAAGTGTGTACAAGAAAACTTTCTGATTGAGTGGACGTACCCAAGAGGGAAGGTACAAATCTTGACCTATTCTTGGGAAATACGGCAGGGCAGGTGACTGTGGTGACAGTGGGGAAGTACTTTGGGGCCAGTGGCCATAATTCTATCAGTCTTAAAATAGTGATGGAAAAGGATAAATTGAATCTAAAGTTAAAGTTCTAAATTGGAGGAAGGCCAATTTTGACAGTATTAGGCAAGAACTCTAAAAAGTTGATTGGGGCAGACGTTTGCAGGTAAATGGACAGCTGGAGAATGGGCAGTCTTCAAAAATGAGATAATGGGAGGCCAGGTACAGTATGTTCCTGTTAGGGTGAAGGGCAAGGCTGGTAGATGGAGAGCATGCTGGATGACTAGAGAATTTGAAGTTTTGGTCAAGAAAAGGAAGGAAGCATTTGTCAGATATAGACAGCACAGATCGAGTGAAACCCTAGAAGAGTATAAAGTTGGTATTAAGTGGGCAGTACTTAAAGGGGAAGATTAGGTGGGAAGAAAGGGGACGTGAGAAGCTTTGGGAACAGGGTTATGTCGAATCCAAAGGGATTTGACAAATATGTTAAGAACAAAAGGGCAACTAGAATAGGGACCCTTAAAGATCAGCAAGGCTGCCTATGTGTGGAAACATATGAGATGGGGGAGAAACTAAATGAGTATTTTGCATCTGTGTTTACTGAGGAGAAGGATATGGAAGATATAGCAAATGGGGAAATAAATAGTGACATCTTGAAAAATGTCCTATATTACAGAGGAGCTTATCCACAAAGGTGGATAAATCCCCGGGACCTGATCAGTTGTACCCTAGAACTCTTTGTGAAGCTGGGGATGTGATTGCTGACCCCTTGCTGAGATAATTGTAACGTCGATCGCCACAGGTGAGGTGCTGGACAACTAGGGGTTAGCTGAAGTGGTGACACGATTTAAGAAAGATCGTAACAAAAAGTCAGGGAACTGTCAACCGGTGAGCCTGACATTGATTGTGGACAATTTGTTGGAAACGATCCTGAGGGACCAGATTGCCATATATTTGGAAGAGCAGGGACTGATTGGGGATAGTCATCATGGATTTGTGCATGGGAAATCGTGTCTCACTAACAATTGAGTTTTTTGAAGAAGTAACGGTGAATATTGACGGATAGCAGTGGGCGTGATCTGTAATGATTTCAGTAAGGGGTTCGATAAGGTTCCTCATGGTGGACTGCTTAGCAAGGTTCAATCGCATATAATACAGGGAGAGCTAGCCACTTGGAGACAGAACTGGCTTGAAGGTAGAAGACAGAGGGTGGTGGTGGAGGGTTGTTTTTCAGACTGGAGGCTTGTTACCAGCAGTGTGCCTCAAAGGTTAGTGCTGGGTCCACTGCTTTTTGTCATTTACATGAATGATTGGATGTGAACATAGGAGGTATGGCTAGTAAGTATGCAGATAACACCAAAATTGGAGATGTGGTGGACAGTGAAGAAGGTTACCTCGGATTACAACAGAATCTTGATCAGATGGGCCAATGGGCCAAGAAATGGCAGATGGAAATGAATTTAAGTAAATGCAAGGTGCAGCATTTTGGAAAGGCAAATCAGGGCAGGACATACACTCTTAATGGTAAGGTCTTGAGGAGTGCTGCTGAACAAAGAGACCTTGGAGGGCAGGTTCATAGTTCCTTGAAAGTGGAGTTGCAGGTAGATAGTATTGTGAAGACGACATTTGGAACACTTGTCTTTATTGGTCAGTGCATGGAGTATAAGAGTTGGGAGGTCATGTCGCGGCTGTACAGGTCATTGCTTAGACCACTTTTGGAATGCTGCATTCAGTTCTGTTCTCCCTGCTATTGGAAGGACATTGTGAAACTTCAAAGGGTACAGAGCAACTTTATAAGGATGTTGTCAAAGTTGAGGGTTTGAGCTGTGTGAAGAGGCTGAATAGTCTGGCACTATTTTCTCTGGAGACTTGGAGGTTGAGAGGTAACCTTATAGACATTTGTAAAATCATGAGGGGCATGGATACGGTAAATAGCCAAGATCTTTTCCCCAGGGTGAGGGAGACCAAAACTAGAGGGCATAGGTTTAAGATGAGAAGGGAAAGATTTAAAAGGAATCTAAGGGGTAACTTTTTCATGCAAAGCATGGTACATCTATGGAATGGGCTGCCAGAGGAAGCGATGGAGGCTGGCACAATGACAACATTTAAAAGGCATCTGAATGGATATATGAATAGGAAAGGTTTAGAGGAATATGTGCTAAATGCTGGCAAACGGGATGAGATTAAGTTAGAATACCTGGTCAGAATGGTTGAGTCGGACCGAAGATTCTGTTCCCATGCTGTACACCTCTATGGCTCCATATTTACCACCATCCTTGTTCTCTACTGCCCACCATCAAATTGTTCTCAGTGAGATGTATTTATTATTTTCCTCCCTCAGCTTTGCACCAACTGATTTTTTAACCTTGGGGATTTCAACTTGTGTCTGAAGTCAGCATGTTCTGGGATCACTTTCCGACTATTCACCACTTTTTCATATTATTTCTGCCCCGTGTAATCTCTCCAGTTCATATTTACCACCAGCCTTTTGATGTCATTTCATGTAGCATCACTATTCCCGTTAAATCAATCAGCCAAGGCCATCTTTGATTACCTTCCGCTATCAATCTCAATTTTCATCGCCTTCTTTTTCTGATATTTTAAATGCATGTGACTGAGCACCACTTAAGTGTGCAGACTCTGAGCTGGGAGTTTGATGAGTGAGGCAGTTCTGGGAAGAGAAGAACTAAAATTTAATTAAGGAAAAGCAATTTACTGAACATGCAAATACAGCAGGGCAGGTGACAAGTCTGCATCTTGTGGGAGCTTCTGGATCCCACTCAATCCATTTGAAACCATATCTGTAGTGCTTATAGCTTGTGGAGCCTCGGCCTGGTGTCAATGAGTTGGAATGGGCCAGTATTTATTACTGATCTCTTGTTGCTTTGAGAAGGTGGTGAGGAACTGCCTTCATGACTCTGTGCAATTCATTTGGTTTAGGCAGGCCTACAATGCCTTTTTGGGAGGTAAATAACTGCAAGTGGTGCTCCCAGTACCCCCAAATCCTGTTCAATGATGTTGAAATTGGCCTTTCCCCAATTTAGATACTTAACATCTGCGCTTTCAATATCCCTTTCCATAATGAGTTTAAAACTTACAGAGTTGCGGTCATTATCCCAAAATGCTCATCTACTGAAACTTCAAGTACTTGACTGGCTTTATTCCCTAGGATTAGGTCCAGCACTGCCCCATATCTCATCAGACTATCTATGAAGTGGTGCAAAATGCCATTCAGTTGGAGGGCATTCAGTGATGAACAAGTTCTGTCCTATCCAGTGGCACCCAGATCGCACAAAAAAAATTAAATCATCTTGAATACTAACACCTTTGCTTTTTGAGCAACAAAGTCGATTACTCTGGTGTGCACAGGCTGTGTCACATCTGATTCATAAACAAGAACTTTCTGAAAACACATTGTCTAGACGATTAATTATTGCAAAAATAGAAATTGTAACTTATTGTCTAATTTTACATTTTTTTAATCTTTATTTGCAGGAAGCCTGAATGAAATGTATTTTCTCCATCAGGAAGGGTACTTTTTATTGAAAGGACCTGACAATCCTGGAACTGACCCCATTATCTGGGAATGGAGGTCACATTCAGGGCAACAAACTACAAAACAATTGGGAACTTTTCACAGAGAAGGTCAGCAGTGGGCTGTAAAATGGAGTGATGATTATCATAATATGCCAGACATTTCTCAGAGAATACACGAGCACTTCGGTACCCTCAATCTGTTAATCAGAAATCCCACATTTGAACTTGCGGGACTGTTTACCTGGACCCAGACACAGCCCAGTAAGAAAATCCTGAAGCAGACCGAGCTATTTGGAATCAAAGGTGAGTAACAAGGACTGGAAAGAGTTGAATGGAATGATTTTCTGTCATTCCATGGAAATTCATAGAGCATTGAAATCCATTTCTACTGTGTGTTTCCACAAATAAGAATTGTAAACTCTCCTCTCCATTGTTGTCATTGCAATCTTGCAGGAGACTGGGATAGTTATCTTATAAAAGAGAGGTAGTTGGAGTCTAAGGTTTTCTTCAGGGAACTACTTATTCATGTGCTATAAACTATACACACTGATACCGAGCACTGTTGCATTTCTTTTCGGGATCTTTCCACAGTCAACATATGATCGCTTACATCACCAGAAAAAGAGCTCACTATTTTCAAGTCAGTAGACCTTACATCCACCTTAACAAAAGAACAGTTTGCCAGAGTCCACATTCCATTTAAGGTAACCATTTATTCAACTTCTATTGTCTATGTATACTTTGACTTCGTATGAGATCTGCACTATTTTATTTCTCTCCAGAGCCTGGTCATCAA